ACTTAAAAAAAATAATTAGGCAGCTCTGTTCTAAATCATCACCTGCCTCTTTTCATAAACCTCTCAAGAGGTATGTTCTTGGGCAGCCTGGGTGTTTCAGTGGTTTAGCGCTGCCTTCAGTCCAGGGCCTGATCCTGGGGACCCGGGATCGAGTCGCACGTCGGGCTCCCTGTATGGAGCCTGCTTCTCCCTCTGCCTGTGTCTCTGCCTCTCTCTCTCTCTCTCTGTGTCTCTCATGAATAAATAAATAAAATCTTTTTTTTTTTTAAAAAAAAGGTATGTTCTTGGTGGCATTGTCTGATCACCTGTGATTCTCTCAATCATAACATGTAAGATTCACTTTACTCTCCAGACCTCTCATAAAATATGGAAATAAAAGTCCTGAATTTCACAATTTCCCTAGAGTAATTAGGGTTTGGTTCTTGAATCAGGGGCAAAATTTTCTCCTTCTTTAGTGAAACTGTCTACTACTCTTATTTTCCTAGAAGATAAACGAAACCCATAGAGCATACAATTGCTGAAATATTTAAACATTTGACCTATATCAATTTAGCCTAGAAAAGGCTAAGCAACTCTTCTGATTTGACAACTCTTCCCATGAAACTCCAACAGTAACATATCAAATAATCCTAGTTGTTTTTGGCACCTCTCTTTTTCATTACGTGGAAGAATAAGTTTTTGTGATTTTCCAGGACTTTCTGGGAAATTGCAGAGATAGTTTTAGATACGAAAGATATTCTGAAAGTTATTTTACTTCACTTAGGAGTCAATCTAGGGGAAAAAAAAGAAATCAAAACTTGTCAGATTAAAGTGTTTTTCAAAAAAAAATACTTGTCAGATTTGAACACTTAGGATCGTGGGTGCCTTAGAAACAATATTTGGTTACTCATATATTTTACGGGTCAGAATGTAGTCTATCTTGGTGAATGTTCCATGTGGGCTCAGGAAGAATGTGTATTTTTCTGTTGTTGGAGTAAGTGTTCTATGAACATCAATTAGATCCACTTGATTGATGATTCTATTCAGTTTAACTATGTCCTTATTGATTTTGTGCCCCCTGGACCTCTTGATTACTGACAGAGGGGCTATACTCTCCAAGTATAATAGTGGATTTGCCTATTTCTCCTTGGAGTTCTATGAGTTTTTGGTGATCTGTCGTTAGGTGCATACATATTAAGAATTATTATGACTTTTTCGGGATCCCTGGGTGGCGCAGCGGTTTGGCGCCTGCCTTTGGCCCAGGGCGCAATCCTGGAGACCCGGGATCGAATCCCATGTCAGGCTCCCGGTGTATGGAGCCTGCTTCTCCCTCTGCCTGTGTCTCTGCCTCTCTCTCTCTTACTGTGTGCCTATCATAAATAAATAAAACCAAAAAATTATTAAAAAAAAGAATTATTATGACTTTTTGGAGCTCTGATTTCTTTAATGTTATGTAATGTAATGCCCTACTTTCTTCCCTGACAATTTTCCCTGCTCTAAGATCTGCTTTGTCTGAAATTAGTATGGTTACTCTAGCTTTGTTTTGGTTAGTGTTAGCATGGCATATTTTCCTCCATCTTTTTCTTTGTAATCTGTATTTGTTGTTATATTTAAAGTGGATTTCTTGTAGACAGTTCCTTGGTGGGCCTTTTTTACTATCAACTCTGATGATCTCTTTCTTTAACTGATATATTTAAACCATTGCTTAAAGTGATTATTGATATAGTTGGATTAATATTTGCTATAGTTGTTGCTGTTCATCTATTCATTGCCCTTGTTCCTTTATTTTTGTTTTTGTCTTCCGCTTTTCTTCTACCTTTTGTGATTTTTGACTGAGCATTTTATATAATTCCAGTTTCTCTCCTTTTTAAAAAAGCATATAGTTATATTTCCTTTTTTTCAGTTATACTTCCTTTTTTTTAACTTTCCTTAGTTGTTTCACTAGAGTTTGCAATATCCATTTATAATTAATACAAGTCCACTTCCAAATAACACCATACCACTTCATGGGTAGTGCAGGCCCCTTATAACAGAGTTTCCAGTTCCTTCTTCCTGTCCCTTGAACTCTGCTGCCATTCATTTCACTTATCCAAAAGCTACAGTCATCCAACACATCATTGCTAGTATTATTTTAAACAAACTCTTATTATTGGATAAGTAAATAATAAGATCTCAGATCTCAGCTTAGAAGTTTCTTCTTTCTGGGACACCTGGGTGCCTCAGTTGGTCAAACATCTGACTCTTGATTTCAGCTCAGATCATGGTCCCAGAGTCGTGGGATCAAGTCCTGCCACATTGGTCGTGGATCCTGCTTAAGATTTTCTCTCTCCTTCTCCCTCCCCTTCTGCTCCTCCCCCTGCCTTACAAGAGTTTGCTCTCTCACTCTCTCTCTCTCTCTCTCAAAAAAAAAAAGTTTATTCTTTCAGAAGCTCTTCCTGAAGTCTGGGTGAAGCCCACCCCCATGCTTCTTGAATCATAGAACCAATCACACTGTCTCTTCACTAACTCAAAACATGTTGAAGGACAGAATCTTGTGAGTCTCATTTGCTGCTGTAGCCTGTGTAGTATCTAGTCAATATTAATAAGTGTTTTGGTATGGATGAATGAATTAGTGAATAAAAGGACAAATACATCTCCTTTGAGTTCTTGGTCCACCCAGTTGGCCAAACCGGCAGGCACCTTATCCATTTGAATATGCCACCAATATCCTAGTTTGAAACCTAGAAAGAGAACTTGGAGCAGTTTCTCTTTGAACCTCAATGCAAATTCCATTCACAAATCTAGCATGCTCCAGCTTTCATCACACTTGTACAAATGTTTGTCTCGGTTGGATTTCCCTGCCACACTTTGAGATAGGTGCGTATAGATCATCAGTCATATTCCCTGGAAACAGAGCCTGAGATGGGGATTCCTGAGCATGCAATTTATCAAGGGTGGCTCTCAGGAGACAAGGAATGAGGGAAACAGGATAGGCAGGGCAAGAGAAGGAACTGAGCAAGGATGTGTGATCAGATGGAGTCTAACCAATGCCTGAACCTTGTAGGAAGCTCTGGAGTATGAATAAGCCACAGATTTGCCCAGGCCTGAAGCAGAGGACTGGACTTTTGTAACTCCATATAAGTTAGTAACTGGCTATGGGCTGATTCAAGGAGAGGAAAGGGATATAAATTTCCAGGCATTTCCCAGCAACATGGTTCCCATCAACCAAGAAGGGAGAACCTGTGAGCTGTTAGAGTCACCATGCACAACATCTAGGGATGATGCAGTGGTCATGTAATGCAGATCTGGGTAGGACACCACCAGCGCTTACTGGAGTACCTACAAGGAAGCTGACTCAGAAAGCATAAGAAACTTGCCCAGAGTTACTCAGATAACAAGCCTAGTCCTCCAGACTCTGAATCCCCAGCTCAGTCTGCCCAAATCCAGCCCCACCTACCATGGACTGGTTCTGGTTGCTGTTTGACAGGGTGGCTTGCTTCTCAAGGGTCAGGGAAGCAGAGAGGAAAGCTCTCTGGGGCCACCACATCACATGCCCAAACTTGAGAGGCTGGATGAGGAGGACGGTAGGGGTGAGAATTTGGGAACCTTAGACCCCACATCCCAGACTCTATCACAGTTGCTGGGAATGGCAAGTGGCGAACTTCTATTCTGCTTTGCCCAAAGCTGGGGCTTTTGCAGTGCAGCTGGGGAAATCTGCCTAGCCATGGCAGAAAAGTCTGGATTGGGGGCCCCTGTGGACAATGAGAACAGGTGCCCTACAGAAGATTGTTTCCAGGCACTGCTCGCTCAGATGTGGGGCCTCAGAGTGCAAAAGTGACAAGGCAGGCTGGAGACGAAAGGGGAAGGGGACTTTGTTGAGTACTTCCCACAGGCCAGAACATTTACTCCTGCTTTTAATTAACCCCCCAACCACGTAGATCCACGAGGATCTACTAGAGCCATTTTATAGGCGAGGAAGCTGAGGTGCAGAAAAGTGAAGTAATTTATCTGTGGTCACAGAGATAAAAAGTGACAGAAATTGGGATGCTTGAGTGGCTCAGTGGTTTAGCGTCTGCCTTTGGCTCCGGGCATGATCCTGGAGTCCTGGGATCGAGTCCCGCGTCAGGCTCCCTGCATGAAGCCTGCTTCTCCCTCTGCCTGTGTCTCTGCCTCTCTCTCTCTGTGTGTGTCTCTCATGAATAAGTAAATAAAATCTTTAGGAAAAAAAAAGTAACAGAAATGATAATTTCATGCAAACCAGCTTATCTAAGCAAAAGACATCTTATTTCTGGTTAAAAGTATCAGGATAGCATCATTTATTCTCAGATGTCAGTCACTGTTCTGTGTTCATTAACAAGCTAATGGAGTAAGACTGAGCATCCCCATGTTAGAGATGAGCTGAGACTCAGAGAGGTCAAGTGACTTGCTCAAAGACACCCAGCTAGTAAGCTGTGGAGAGGTTGGCAATTAATATCAGAACTTCATGAAAATTTCCCTGCATTTAATTTGTAAATGCCTATATGAATAGTTGTACTTAGTGTAGCTGTTGGGCAAACTTTTGAGGGAATTTCATACCGTAGATTGTGTTCAACCAGGCCATTTGCCAATGCCACAAAGTCATTGTTCACACACACACACACACACACACACACACACAAAGGTGGGGGCAGGTGAGGTAGCAGCTCCTGGAGAAAGAAGCCTGCTCAGCCCTTCCTATGTCAGGATCCAGACTTGCCGGAGACCCATGCTTGGCCTGGCCCTGGAGATCAGGAGAATGACTCAGCTCTGACCCCAAGGAACTGCACACCCAAGAAGCGAAAAGACATGTGCCTAGATTTCTACCTGAGGTTTTGGCAAGAGTGTGGGGATGCCGACCGGTCAGAGGAGGGGACATTAAATCTCATCCCAAACCAGAGGCTCCAGAGGAGGTGGCCTTTGGAGCCAACAAGTTCCAGAAAGCATCGTGGACCTCTGATTCCCGGGGGCACTTTCCTGGGGTGGAGGCCAGTGAGGTCAGAACTGTCCATTTCCTGCCCCTGCAGGTGACAGGTCCAGGAGGAGACCCTCACGGAAGCAGCCTCCCAGAGCCGAGCGTGTGGTGGGCAGACATGGAGCTCAGCCTAGCCAGAAGGAGCGGGCGGAGGGCAGCCCAAGGCCAGGGTCCCCCCGGAGGAAGCAGGCAGAGCACCAGAGACTCAGAGAGGAGAAGCCTGGGGGGAGCTCCACAAAGAGGACCTGTGAGGGGAGGAGGAAGAGAGATGGGAGGGCTTCCCTCAAGGAGCAGAGACAGAGAGCTCCCCCAAAGAAGGAAAAGGAGGCACTGAGGAAGGAGACACGGAAGCGACCAAAGAAACACAGGTATGTTGTGATTCTGATTCTGGTGCATCTTTTTTTTAAAGATTTATTTATTTGAGAGAGAGGGAGGGAAAGATCGAACACAAGCAGGGGAAGGGCAGAGGGAGAGGGAGAAGGAGACTCCCGCTGAGCAGGGAGCCAGATAGGAGCTCCATCCCAGGACCCTAGGATGGACCTGGGCTAAAGGCAGACGCTTAACCTACTGAGCCACCCAGGCACCCCCAAGTGCATTTTCTTGATTGCCAGTCTCCTCTCCTTCGGCCCTTCCCCCTCCCCTGATGAAGGGCTAAGGTCTCGTCCCCTGGTTTGGTGACCCCTGCTCTCATCTGCTTCTGTTTGTCCCTGCCTTTTCCACTGCCCTGCCCTCCCCATCTGGGGCAGAAATGGGAGGAGGATCTTGGCCATCCCAGGCAGACTGGCCACTCTCAAAGCCAATGCCTCCTGTCCAGCAAGTGCAAATGGGACCATTGAGTGGGGGAGGTGACATGGCAGCGGGAGGTGACATGGCAGCAGGATGGGACAAGATCCCAAGTCTCCTGGATTTCAGCTGGTGACTCACCACAGCTCTGGAAGAGGTGCTGAGAGAAATGAGCAAAATTGGATTTAGCAGTCGTCGTAGGACTTAAGCAACCACTTCCGCAGTCTGGACCTGTGTCCTCTTCTGTGAAATGTTGCACTGATCTAGAGGACTTTCAGTGGTTCCACCAGCCCTGAAAATTAGGATATGGGGGGTTTTATTTGTTTTGTTTTCTCTGTTGCATGAGCACTGGCACTGTGGGTTCAGGGACAGAGCCAGATCATGGAATCAGCAAGTCGGGAGTTTAATTCTTTGCTACTAGTTTTGAGGGGACATCTTCTCTTTGCCTCCCTTTTTGGCTTTACTCACTTCTTGGGATGTTTAAGAATCCCTGTTGATGGGGCACCTGGGTGGCTCAACGGTTGAGCATCTGCCTGGGGCTCAGGTCGTGATCCCTGGGTCAGGGATCAAGTCCCACATCTGGCTCTCTCTGCCTCTCTCTGTGTGTCTCTCATGAATAAATAAATAAAATCTTTTTAAAAATCCCAGTCGATGATGATGACTGGGGAGGTTTTTGAAATAGTTGAAGGAATCAGGGTTATGGTGAAAAATATGTTCCCTCCCATGGGGCTCTAGGGTGTTTAGAAAAGACAGTCCTGATCCCAAGATGCTGAGAGTCTAGCAGGGGAGATAGGACACAGACAACAGTCTTTACAAGACAAGGCAGAAAGTAGTATGTGTCTGAGAAAGGATTTATTGAAATGCCTTTTTGGTGGGGCACTGGGGCATCAGGGTTCCTCCACAGGGCAGGTAAGCATTTCGGCCTGTCATTGAAGCACAGATGTCATTTGAACAAGCAATGACTGAATGCCACCCACACCCAGACTGAGGGATCCCCCATGGAAAAGACTCAAGGCAACTATCACAGGGTGCCCATGAGGCATGCCAAGACACTCCTGTGCCCTAGGCTTTCCAGAGGTGAAGTGTTGGGGCCCCTCCTCTCACCTATGTCTCATCACTTCTCCTCTGCTCTTTGAGTTCTTCAGAAATTAAAACTCACCAAGGCTTGGGGATCCCTGGGTGGCTCAGCAGTTTAGTGCCTGCTTTTGGCCCAGGGCATGGTCCTGGAGTCCCAGGATCGAGTCCCACATCAGGCTCCCTGCGTGGAGCCTGCTTCTTCCTCTGCCTGTGTCTCTGCCTCTCTCTCTGTGTCTCTCAGGAATAAATAAATAAAATTAAAAAAAAAACTCGCTGGGGCTGCTGTGAATTGTTCTCTAAAATCTGCAGTAACCCAAGCCCACATCCTGGTGTTTCTGTTTATGGAACTTGCTAAGAAGGCAGCTGGAGTGTGGTCTTCTCCACGCCTCCACCTCACCCCATGGGCTACTGTTCCACCTGGAGTCACTGTGTCCAAGAACTAGGATTTTGTGGCAGCCGAACACATAGTCAGTCTTGTGTGTGAGATGCTGAGGCTCCTCATATGGGGGAAGGGTTCCTGCTGGAAGTTCCCTCCCCCTGTGCTGTCCAGCACCATCACCGCAGCCACATGCTGAGTGAGCCCTTGACATGCAGCCAACATGACCAAGGAACTGAATTTTTAATCTCCTTTCTTTTTTTTTAATCTCCTTTCATTTTAATTCAAGGTGAATACTATTGAGTTGACACAAGAGTTAGTGAATTTACTTAACTCAGGACAGACAGCTGTATTTTTAAAATTGATTTAAATTTGAAGATGATGCATTTCTTCTTAAAAATAAAAGGCAAACTGCTTTTGTCAATGCAGATGCAAATGTCAAAGGAAAATGACATTCTGCTACTTGGTTAATTTGTTAGGAGACTTTTAAGTATGTTTAAAACAACTTGAGTGTGTGGATCTACCCTTTCAACTGTAAATTTTGTGAAATACAGGTACAGATCAAATATGTTCAATGAAAATTTAATGTCTGAATTGACATGCACAGTGGTTGTGGGATGAACAGCAGATTTTGAAGACAGCACAAGAAGAATATAAAATACTTCATTAAGGGCAGCCCCGGTAGCGCAGCGGTTTAGTGCCACCTGCAGCCCAGGGTGTGATCCTGGAGTCCTGGGATCGAGTCCCACATCAGGCTCTCTGCATGGAGCCTGCTTCTCCCTCTGCCTGTGTCTCTTCTCTGCCTCTCTCTCTCTGTCTCTGTCTCTAATAAATAAATAAAAATCTTTAAAAAAAGTTTAAAAAATGCCTCATTAATAATTGTTATATTGGTTACATGTTAAAATTACAATTTTTGACATGTTGGATTCAATAAAATGTATTATTAAAATTAACTTACCCATCTCTTCTTGCCATTTTAATATGGTTACTAGAAAATTTTAAATTACAACACATGGCTTGGGTTACAGTTCTATTGAGCAGCATTATGCTAGAACATGGTGGGTAGTGAGCGCACAGAGAAAGAGTTGGGGGAGGCAACTCTCCCGGTGTTTTGGGCTACAGGACAGAGTTGTCGCCTCTTCTGATGGGTGGTGGGAGTCACTGAGGGCTTCTGAGCAGGAGCGGACCTCTGAGGGGTGGTCAGGGCTGGGAGGGCCATGGGCTCCTATACATTCCACAGAGCACTTGAAGATACTTGCCAACCTTTCACTCTCCCCCTGCTCTGCCCTGGCTCTGCCTGCAGATCACCCTCCCTGGCCTCCAGCACCTCTGGTGGGGAATCTCTGTCAGAGGAGAAGCTGGCCCGGATCCTGGAGCAGTTAGAAGACAAGAAGAAGCTCATTGCCACCATGCGGAACAAGCCCTGGCCCATGGCAAAAAAGCTTAGGGAGCTCAGGTGAGCAGGGGGTGGTCCACCGGGGCCTCTTGATGTGCAAAAGGCTTGGGTCTTTCTGATGGGCCCAGAACACCTTCCATCTTGACTTGGAGAGGACTTGACAGGAAGGCGGGATTGACCCTCCCACTCTGCTTTGGTCCCTCTCTCCCCAGCACAAGCACAGTGCCTGAGTAGGGGGCTGTTAGAGCCAAGACAAGAGTGAGTGGTGACTGTTGACAGAGGCCCTGCTGTTGGCCAGCACAGAGCAGGTTCTGGTGGGAGAGACAGAGATCACGGTGCCCTGGCCTAGGGCCAACCCTTCTGCTGCCTGACAACCTTTCTGTCCCCCACCCCTTCCCCTTCTGTGCCTCCCTCACAATCCAACACAGACAAGCCTTCCTTAGAGGGCTTTTGGTGACAGCCCCCACCTCAACAAGTTCAGAACTCCCCTGTGTTCTTTAGGAACCAAGAGCCTCTCCCTGTGTATGTAGCACACCCACACTTGTGTGTGGGGAGCAGGGAGTGCATCTGCCTGACCCAGGGCCAGGCTGCGATGGTGCTCCATGAATATAGTTCAGGCCTTCTCCTATCAAAGCCCCTGACTCCTGTTTCCAGCTCAGCCCTTCTCTGGCTTCCTTGGAAAGGCCAGCACTTTGAGCATTTTGTGAGTCTTCCCTCTCTGCTGCGGGAGAAAAGAGTGGGGGTCACATTTCTGGTTTTCTACTTTAAAAAAAGAAAGAAACCGTCAGTCGGCTAAGCATCTGCCTTCAGCTCAGGTCATGATCCCAGGATCCTGGGGTTGAGCCCCAAGCCCCCCCCAGGTAGGGTCAAGCTCCCTGCTCAGGGGGGAGCCTGCTTCTCCCTCTCCCTCTGCCCCTCACCCCAGCTTGTGAACCTGCAAGTTGTCTCTCTGCCAAATGAATAAATTAAATCTTAAAAAAAAAAATCCAGCATTACCATTTCCCCCCAAGCTCCTCCTTGGCTTTTCTGCCACAGGGCTGCCGGGACACTCCTTTTCCCCTTCCCCCTTTATAAAGCCATTTCCCTGGCTCTGCTCACACATGAGTTTCCCATCCTCTCAAGCCAAGGGCCTCACCCTCTATTATGTAGAACAGTTTGCAGCTGTGTTTTGACCTATTGAGCCTCACTGGTTACCCCCAAAAGACGCAGCAAAGATGCTGGGCTGCACAAACCCAAGGCGAACCCCAACAGGTTCTGGAAGACAGAGCTTACTCCATGCCAGCAAATTACCGCATTGTATCCTACACAGCTGCAGGAAAAAATGTGTCCCTCTGGCACCGCCAGCCCAGTGCTGACCAACAGAACTTTGGGGGATGATGGGAATGCTCTAAATCTGCACTAATAGCGCCCTATGTGGCCAGTAAGCACTCGAAAAGTGTTGAGTGTGACCAAGAAACTAAATTTTTTTGTTTTATTTTACTGTATTTAAATTAAATAATCGCTTGTGGCTGGTGGCTATAGTTTGGTGGCAGGTACAGCTTTAGGCAGTGGCTGTCTTCCTTCCTAGGCCCTTCTTCTGAAACTCCTATCTCCAGGCCAGGTTCTTCTTCCTGACAGGGGCATGCAGAACAGCCACCTGTCACTCTAACAGAACCTCACCCCCCACTCAGGTGTCACCTGAACACATCTTTTATTAACAGTGGAAAAAGAGCAACCGAGGTGCTTATGGAAATGAGATCTCCAGCCTGCTGGAAATCTCAAGGACTAGGAAGATTCCCCAGGGCTGTCTAGCTGCCCAGAGGAGAGAAGTCTGATATCACCTCCAGCTGCAAGGGCAGGGGTCCTGCTCTTGGTGTGAGTGGGAAGCCTTGAAAGCCTGGGAAGTTGAACAGACCCACGTTTCTGTCCCTGGGTCCCTGGGGCAGAGCTCCTCAGCCAACACCGGCCTCTTCCCTCCAGGCCTCCCCCCTTCCTCCTCCCTCTCCCGAGCCTCCTTATCCCAGACTCGGGTCTTAGGCAGGAGAGCTTCAGCAGCTCCAAGCAAGCTGGTGCCTCTGCCTAGATCTCTGCTTTCTGCCGGCCCACCTGGCTGATTCCCACAGACCCTGTAAGACTCAGGCCAAGTGCTCCCCCTGCAGGGAAGCCCCATGGCCCTCCTCACATTCAGACCCAGCTATTTACTGCCCCTCTGATCCCCCTGGCACTGAATGCTCCAATTGAGCATCCCCCTCGACTGGACACTCTTGTCTGCAGAGCTGTGTCTAATTCATCTTTTACTATTCTTTTTATTATTTCTCTTTTTAGTATTGCCACCACTTACTGAGCACTCCCTGTGTGCCAGACACTGTTCTGAGTGCTGGTGTGTCACAGCCCATTTAATCCTACAGCCACCCTGTGATATAGGGACTATTACTGTTGTCCCAAATTTACTAAAGAACACATTGAGACACAGAGCAATTAAGTAATTTGCTCCAGGTTTGCAAGGTGAGTTAAGTGGCCTGGTTGGCATTTGGACTCAGGGATTCTGGCTCCAGTACCTGTGCTCTTCATTTGTAATTCTTTCTCTAGAGTTACTAAACATTCTAGAATGAATCCCTTTGCATCCTCTATGATTTCCCTCTCTGGCAGTGAGGTTTTTCATTGCAGATAGCATTCCCAGAGTACATCTTCCTTTTTTATTTTTAATATTTTATTTATTTATTTTGCAGGGGTGGGTGGTTACAGAGGGAGAGAGAGAAAGAATCTCAAGCCAACTCACTGAGCTCGGTCGGAGCCTGATGTGGGGCTCAATCTCATGACCCTGAGATCATGACCTGAGCAAAAATTAAGAGTTGGACATTTAACCAACTGAGCCACCCAGGCACTGATAAATCCTTTTTCAGAAGCAATAGTGTGGAGACCTCAGCCTCCGACCCATTCGGACAGCTGGCTGACCTGGGCATGGTTGTTGTGACAACCGAAGAAGGAATAGTAACGCATAAAGAACAAAACAGTGGTGAACTGGCCCAAGCCTGTGCTCATGCCTCTGCCACCTCTGGGCAGCTTTGGCACTAGTCAGTCTCTGCCTTTTAGGACCCATGCATCAGGGATGTTTGCTTTTATTTTTTTTAAGATTTTATTTATTTATTTATGAGAGACACAGAGAGAGAGAGCCAGAGACACAGGCAGAAGGAGAAGCAGGCCTTATGCAGGGAGCCCGATGTGGGACTTGATCCTGGGACCATGGGATCACGCCTTGAGCCAAAAGCAGACGCCCAACTGCTGAGCCACCAGGCATCCCACGTTTGCTTCAACCATAGAATTAATCAGATGTGTCCCTCAGCTTTATCAGATGATATCTTAGAAAATTAACCAAATTGCCTATTTTCTTCAGAGAAATCGGAAGAATTCCACTTCCAGAAAGAGGCAGTAGACCTGCTTCTGCCAATTCTTCCCACTAACTACAACTAAAACCCTGGACATTACCTGTAAAGCAAACATAAGAAGACTCAGAAAAGTGGAAAGAAGAAAATGGTCTGGTTAAAGACCTCATGACAGAGAATTGATAGGGCACTGAGTTCTGGGGTTTTCTTCTTGCCCTATATTTCTGGCCACCCAGAAACATGGACAGAAACAGACTAAAAAATACCTCAAGAAAATTCAGCTCTCGGGATCCCTGGGTGGCGCAGCGGTTTGGCGCCTGCCTTTGGCCCAGGGCGCAATCCTGGAGACCCGGGATCGAATCCCACGTCGGGCTCCCGGTGCATGGAGCCTGCTTCTCCCTCTGCCTGTGTCTCTGCCTCTCTCTCTCTCACTGTGTGCCTATCATAAATAAATAAAAATTTAAAAAAAAAAAGAAAGAAAATTCAGCTCTCTCTAGCCAAAGGCCCAGGAAAGGGATAGTCTGTCAAGATGGCAAAGTCATAGGCAATAGCAATTTTACTCTAGCCAAGCCCCACAAACAGAAAGCAGCCCCATCCCCATCCCTGGCAGCAAAAGCAAAGTGAGGAAGCCTAGATTACCTCCCTTGCCAGGTTATAACTGGTGCCCCTGATGCCCCCACCAGGGTAGTATCAGAGGAGGCTGAGTGGTTAGTATGGACTTTCATCCCCACCAGGCAGTCATGAGCCCTCCCTCTCCTTTGGGTGTCTGTGGAGGCCACATGGGGAGTCTAGACTTTCACCACCACCTGACAGAAGCAAGGCATCCCTCCTAGCCAGGAAGATATGAGAAGAACCTGATTGGAAGCCTGAACTCCCATCCCTGCTCAGCAGTAATGAAGAGTTTCTACCCAGCCTCAGGTGCCAAAGAGGGCCAGTAAAGAACATGGACTTCCACCTGGAAGTAACCAGACAGCATCCTTTTCACCCATAGAAGCCATGTCAGAGGCGGCCTGCTAAAGCAGAAGATTTACACAAGATCCATTTAAACAAGATTTAAACAACCATTTAAATAATAATCCATTTAAATATAATACCCAAAGTGTCCAATATTCAACTGAAAGTCACTCATCCTACCAAGAACCAGGAAGATCTTAAGCTGAATGATAAAAGACAACTAAAGATGCTAACACCAAGATGACATAGATGATAGAATTACCTGGCAAAGATTTTAAAGAAACTATCATAAAAGTGCTTCCCTGAGCAATTATGAACACATGAAACTAATGAAGAAATAGAAAGTCCAGGGCAGCCCCGGTGGCTCAGCGGTTTAGTGCTGCCTTTGGCCCAGGGTGGGATCCTGGAGACCCAGGATCAAGTCCCGCGTCAGGCTTCCTGCATGGAGCCTGCTTCTCCCTCTGCCTGTGTCTCTTCCTCTCTCTATATATATATGTATCTCATGAATAAATAAATAAAATCTTAAAAAAAAGAAAGTCTAACAAAAGAAATAGAAGATCTAAAGAAGAACAACAGGAATTTTAGAAGTTGGAATCCCTGGGTGGCTCAGTGGTTTAACGCCTGCCTTCAGCCCAGGGCGTGATCCTAGAGTCCTGGGATTGAATCCCACATCAGGCTCCCTTTATGGAGCCTGCTTCTTCCTCTGCCTGTGTCTCTACCTCTTTCTCTCTGTGTGTCCCTCAT